ACAAAGACTCGAATCGAGACAGCTCTACAACAGCAACAGCCACAACGCAAACGACGAGAATGAAGCCTCGCGCTGCAGGACAAGGAGCCATCACCAGTTTCTTCGCGCGCTCCAAAAGCACCATCTCGGAAGAACCAGACCCACCACCTGCACGACCATCGCTCAAACGATCCTCGTCCTCCCTCATACGACAAGCGCCCCTCAATGACATCTCAAACATCGCGACCCCAGCACCCCGCCCATTCCAAGCCCGACCCTACCAACCCCTGACTTTGCCGAACCACCGCCCCCGCAACGTCCCCATGCCCACGAAACCAAAGAAAGCGGATCCTGAACCGGACATTGAACATACGCGTTACATCCTCCTATCTAGCTCCCCCGTAAAACCCAACAGCCCCGCCAAGCCATCGAGTTACTCCGACATTGAAGTGGTTGAGTCGAAAGAGCCGGACAGCCCGACAAAGCAAGTATCGTCACCTTTTGGCGGAGGCTCCGGGTTCCGGCCTGTGTCCACTTTCCATACTACGTCTGTGAGTCAGGTGCAGGGACATGTGGGACCGCAGAGGAAGACGCTGGGGATGCGAAGGACAATGCAGGGATGGAGCGTTAAGCATAGTGCGCCGCCGCGGCCACGACCGTCGTAGGATGTAGTTTTCCACGGGGTATATTGTAGGTTGCATTGGGTGGGCGTTCTTGGGCGGTCATTGATCTTGAAAGCATTCTTACAGTTGAGTTTGACGTTTCGGCGCGAGGGCGAGGTTCCTGCATATATACCAATGATATTTGGTACTTCCACATTATTGAGCCACTGAAACGTGTGCCAGACAACTCTCCTACATGAGTCTGCTGTTGGGTATCCTCACTCAAACCTCTTCAAAGCACCGCAAAAGCACTACAGTACGACACACTACTATCCCTCACACTCTCAACCTCATCACTCCTCTCATACCTCACAAACCGAAACCTGCCTCCCCCTTCCAGCCCCTCCGCAGCCTCGACCGCTGCCATAAACACACCAATCGGATGCCTCCCACAAACCGTGTTACCCGTCTCCTCCAGCTGCTCCACAAACTTGTTGTGCTGCCCGCTCTCCACCGCATCCATGCTCTCAAAGTCGACGGCCTTGATGCTCGCGTGGATGGGGTAGTTCTTCTGCACCTCGGAGGAGGAGCGCAGGTTCTTGGGGTTGCCCGAGGGCGGCTGGTAGTATGTGTAGCGGAAGCGGGAGCCCCAATGGCAGAAGTCGGAGCTTATGACGAAGAGGTTGGTGTGGATGGTGAGGTGTTGGGCGAGGAGGCGGCCGTATGTTTTCTCGGTGGATGGCGATGTGGAGCCGATCATTATGGGGACGAGGGGGACGGACTTGGGGTCTGCTTTGAAAGACTCGTTGTGCCTGGGAGTGAGAATCAGTAAGGAGTGGCGATGACGGACCTGAACATTGAACGCACAGAGAGAGCATCTTGTAGATGTACGGTAGGTGCATCTCCAAGCTATGCTCGTCCTCATCTGTCTTCAACGACATGGTTTGCAGTCCCCATTCCTTCTTTATCGACTCAACGAGCTCTTTGTCTACGGTGAGGTTGCCGATCGGTGTGCCATATTCATCGCAGGCGGTTGTAGCGGCGCCGGTGAGGTAGTAGTGGTGTGACGGGCCGAGCAGGAAGATGCGCTTTCTACAGAAAGAGTCAGCGTCCAGATATCGCAAGGTTCGAGTAAAAGAGGAGACATACGCGTTGGCCCAGTCGGCGCTCTTATAGGCCCATGCAGCCGCAGGCCCGGAGTACGAGTATCCAGCGTGCCTGCACGTCATGAGCCTTCATCCCTTCAGTACCTTCCCGGAGACAGCCTACGGTGCAATGATAGCTCTAGCATTCGACGTGGGTATCGGGACAGCGCCCCCTTGCGAAGAAGCAGTTCCTATCGGCGTTGTTGAGCTCGGTACCTGAGCTAGCCAGTGGTCGAGCTGTCGTGAGAGCGTGGGGCCGTCGTCGGTATACCATGAGCCGGCATGGGTGGGTTCGCGAACTTTGGGCGCCATCGAAGCTAGAGAGATGATGGGAGGAGAGTAGAGAGTGAAGTGGAGGTTGTGGGAGTCCGGTGATGCGGAGATGGGGCGGAGGTGAGGTATCGCGGGGTGTTGAGGCAGGAGCTTCCGGCTGGAGGGGTAGCACAGTGCGAGAAGTCGACACGGTCTATCGCACGAACTTTAACTGCGCTTCGTGAATAGTGATACATTCTCAAGCTATGAATTGTATGCGAAAGCAATCTCGTCAATCCGAGCGTTTCCCGGTTACCCGATGATCTTCTGCCATCACTCACGTTCTCGCTGCCCTTGTAGAAGCCCTTCGTCTAGGAGTATAAATAACAATGGCATTTCAATTCAATGTCAGTTTTCATCCTAAAAAAAACCTTCAGATAGCACACAATTAACTTCAACGTTGAACTGTCGGATGTTGCTATTCCCAGAAGTCGCAGCACTTCTTGAGTGCTGCCGCACCCCTCCAACGCGACCGCGTTCGCGACTCGGCGCGTCAGCCCCGTCAGCTCACCAGCCATCCACCATCCCAAACCCCCTTCCATCCCACCCACACCATCAGTTCCCCTGCCGTCATCCATCCACTTCCAAACATCCACTTCACATCTCTATACTATCTCAACCCCCGCATACCTACCCCAAAAATGACGCTCAAACGCAAACGGTCCTGCGACTCCTCCCCCGTATCCGTCTCCAGCTTCGGCGGCGTCGCCACCCCCGAGGCGCATTCCCCCACCCCATTTCCGCACAATTTCGATGGCGCGATGGACCTAGACAGCTGTGCGCATCGAGGCACGGGCTGGGATTTTTCGAGTATAGGACGGGTGAAGGGGAGTGAATGGGGCTTGCGGACACGGAAGCGGGTGAGGGACAATCGGCCGGAGGAGCGCGTTATACATGGTATGAAACAGCCATTGACGATTTGTGAGAGAGGGGAGTTACTGACGAGAAGCAGAGAACACGATCAGCAAACTCTTTTCCGCGCAACGCAAACATCCCCACGCCGAACCTATAATGTCGGACGCGCTTCCGTCCCAATCTACCACCATTGTCCAACGCCTTACCCAGAAATCGACCCTGCACACGTTCTGGAAACTGCCCGCACCGCCTGTTCAACCTCCCGCTTTCCCAATTCCTCAGCAGCACATGTCGAACACGCCGCGCTGCGAAGACTGCGACGCGACATTGCAGCAGGACGTGAATGCCATAGACGTCGATATGGAGGTCGATGGGCCAATGGAGAGGAGTCCGTTCGCCTGCGATGACTGCGGGCGAGCGGTGTGTGGGACTTGCGCAGTCGTGGCGTGTAGACGGCATTGTCTTGGGTGTGCGACTTCGGCAAGGAACTCGAGGAGGTGGTGGTAGGATGGTGAGGGGGCGATGGGGGCTGCTTTGGAATTTGAGATCTACTCAGTTTGGCATACTGCAACGGAGCGGGGGGCGTTTGGGTGGTAAGGTGTTACAAGTCGTGATCGGCCATCGCGTCCACATGCGCTCGGAATCGTTACCAAGGAGTTGAGTTTACGGCGTTCAAGAATTCCCAGTTCATTTTTTGGATTTCAGCAAACAGTAGAATTACTACCAGTCGTGTTATACATTCGAAGAAGTATTCGAAGAAGTATTCGAAGGACCCCATGCCTACGCCCAGCGCATAGAGTGGTGTTGCTGCCGATAATGTACCTTTTCCCATGCTCCCTGACTCCGTAATGAACGGACACATGCGCGCCATGTTCGCACAGTGTCCACACCAAACCAGAGCGACGTATCGTACACGTCATCTCAACCCGATCAGTCGAAACCGGGTTTACTTCATATCATAAACGCACGCACCCCCACCAATCCCTCCCGTCTAATCCCCATGCTTCACACTCTCCTCCAATGCAATGACTGCCTGCTCCAACTCCCTGATTCTGCCCCCCACCCTTCTCTTCACCTCCTCAGCAACCGCCCTATCATCCCCCTCGATAACCCGGTTGTAGTAATCCAACAACTCATCCAATTCCTGCCGTGCCGCCGCCCGATCATCTGCCGCATACGTAGTATTCTTCTCCGTCTCCTCAGCCGCAATCTCGAATTCGTCGCGGGCAGTACCGTACATTTCCTGGAGCCCCTCAATCGCTTCCTCGATGGGATTCCCGCCTTCGGGCCAGGTCGTGGCGCCGGCGCGGTCAGCATTGGGGAAGAAGCGCGGCTTAGAGGAGGCGAAGGTGCGCACGGAGGAGAGCGTGTAGGGCGTGCTGAAGCGCGTCCATTCCGTCGTCGACGCCGCGATTGATATGTTTCGCGCCGAGTACGGGGGCGGTGGAGACGGCGATCGCGATTGTCTTGGGGTTTGGAGCTGCGAGAAGGAGCGTGGGATCTGGGTGGTTGTGGGGCGTAGTCCGGAGGTTGTTGCGCGGACGAGGGAGCGGAGGGTTGGGGCGCGGGAGGGCATCTTGGGTGCCGGCGCTTTGGTGCTGCAATGGCGGTATTGCAGTAGGGTCTGGGCCGAAGGGATTCGGCGGGGACGGCTGGCGATTCGAAACATGGTGAGGCGAGGTGGAAGTCCCAGGCTGATGCTGTGGTGGTTGACCGGAATATGTCATAGACCGAAGGCGGTGGTGGGCGGCAGTATAGTGAGCTTCAGCCAATCAATGATGGGACCGTGGACTTCGATTGGGTTAACAGAGTCAGTCAGGGGTAAAAGTAGTAAAATTGATATTCGCTGCGTGGTTTACAATTCTTGTATATTCTGTTCCCATTACCTCCGGAAGGGTCGTCTCTCCCACCCAGAGATACATGTCTCCGTCTCTCTTCAAATAGATCCGCCACCAACCACGCCCCACATGGTTACTCCGCCCCCGCCACCCCCCGTCAAGTCACATCCGTCCATTCCACTCATTTGATGCGCCCCATTCTTCTAGACCACAATTATTATATAATATATGGACAAAATAAGCGAAAAAATTCAAAAATCCATCCTTGAGCGAGGGTAGTCTAGTGGTTATGATGTTTGCCTTACATTGGAAAATGGAACGCAAAATGTCGGGGGTTCGAATCCCCCCTCTCGTACATCTTGCATAAGTTTTTGGATCTTTAGATCTTTTGTTTTTTGGATTTACTAATTTATTAATTTAGTTAAACACTTAACGTGCTTTTTATAGGTGAACTATCAGTTCCCCAAGGCGGTTATTTAATCGAGCTTTCAATCCGCCAGTGCCGAAAGGCATGGCGGAGCAACAATTAAGCAATGTTCATCCCACACTTATGCTTGATGATGTCGTCGTTCGCCAGTTATTAACAGCTCTGAAGTCGGTGGTTGGTATTTCATCGCCAATGTACGCACGAGCAGTGTACGCGCAAGAATCATCCATAGTAACCGCTGCTGTCGATTCATCCGGCGGAGACGCGTACGCGGATGTCCCCTAGTCGTTAGGATCATTTCGACGATTTTCGAGCATTTTCTGGGTAAGCTGGACAGACGATCCTCCCCTCTCGTACGCATCATAATATCATTTTTTCTTTTGCTGTGCCTTTGGCCCAGCCTTTATGATCGTTTGTGCGATTTCTTTTCAAAGACGCATTCTTTCTCGCAAACTTTTCTTTTTGGACGTGGAAACAAAGCCAGTGATATCTGTGGTGGAAAGGACTTCATGTCGCACAATGATTGATTTTCGGAGTTTCTCTACGTCCTCGTACATTCGTTACTACCTTGTGGTGTAGTTCTGCGTATTTAGTTCCCGCATTCCTCCAAACCACCAGCAAAGCCAGCCAACAAGACGCTGTCCGGAACGCCACTGCCAGCGCCGTAACCATATCAGACCTTAAAAAAAAAGAACCAGCGACGCACGCCTGTCAGGCCATCTAACAATACAGTAGAAAGAAAAGACTAATCGAAAACAATCTGGCGACAAACGAAACCATCCCTACATCATTCACCGCTCACGACCTCCTCCATCCACTCAATGGCTTCCACTCGTCCGTCCTCGTCCTCTTAATCTTCCTGTACCGCACCGTCCTCTCCGTCAACTGCGGCTCATTCTCATCCCACCACTCGCCATTCCTCTCCCTCTCTCTGCTCTCCCAATCCTCATCCACGAATTTCTCGCGGCGCTTGAAGACCTCGCCGGGCCAGGCCATCACTTTGTGAGACGACGAGTGTGACGACTTAGGCCGGCCGAATGTAGCCTTGACTTTGAGGCGGAACTCACGCTCGCGGTCAGATTCGTCGTCGGAGTGTGCGTGGGTGTGCGAAGGCTCGTAGCGTGTGGTAGTGTATTTATAGCGGATTGTGCGGTCGTCATCGCGGTCGGAGGACGCGGAGCGTCGGTGATGATGCTCTTTCTCGGAGTGCTTGGGGTGCGACCAAACATTGTACTTCTCCAGTTGGGATGGTTGGCGGATTGTCAGTGCCCGAGAAGGCTTGGACGGCTTGTGCGATGAAGAGTATGGGTAGTCGTCGCACTCATCGTCGTCGAAGATTTCGACACGTTGGCGCTTGGAGTTGCGTCGGACGAGGGGACGAGAGTGGTAGGATTCCGAGTCGTAGGGGTCGCGCTCGCGGGTACGAGTGGATTGGTAGTAGAGAGACATTGTAGTTGCGGTTGCAACTGGGACGTTGGAGATTGTGCTCTTTCTTATAGGGAAGCTGTAATCTGAAGCAGAGATGTTTGCAGAAGATAGCTTGCTGTGGAAGATTGTGACGATGAGAGAAACTGTGTGCTTGCCGGTGTAACAAAGCCAAAGTAGTCACGGTGCCTGCGACTTATACTCTGTCCACAAAGAAATGTCTCACATTTCCTAAAAGAGACACCACGTTCCAAACATGCACACACCGTCATTGTTGCTTCGCCTCGAGGGCGCATGAGAAAGGTGGTGTGGAGCAGGCTGCACGGCCACCATGTGTGGCTGGTGCAGATCACGGACCGCGCCCATTGGCTCGGCCGCTTCCGCACGCGCATCCGCTCACCGCATGAGCGACGTCGGGTGCCTGGCGTCTGCGAGGAGGCTGGAAATGTTCCTGCTTTTCGGTAGAAAGGTTACTCGTGACAAACCAGCGGGGTCGTGTGGGAGGGGTCATGCAAGCTGAACATCGGTTCGCCACAACGAGGCAGTGATGATTAATGCTGGCGAGTGACCGTGCTTGGGGCCGAAAATGAGGGTGTTGACAAAGTTTTGTCCGCCTTTTAGAGTTTTGCGGCCAGAAGCAGGGCTTTTCGTCGTTTTGTTGAGTTGATGCCTGCCGAAATGCGCCTTTGCGCATCGACGAGGTAGTATCGCTCGAAGTTGTGTTGCACAAAGCTGGCGCTGATGACGACGCTCTCAAGTCATGAGGGTTTTGTGACCTGTCGCCTGAAACGGACCGCGAAGAGTCATGTTTGATCTCTTTGTCTAGAGGAAAAGGACGTGGATGGCTCGGTCTGGAGGCGCTAAGCTGAAAAAGCCGGAATCCTCCTTTCCATCTGAGTACGTCACCTCCTCACAAGGCGCATTTGCGATCATGTCTACTTCCAGACACATGCCCTCGTTCAAGTTCAACGACGTGGAGGCTGTACGGTGTTGAGGGGCATGGGGTCCGAACTTTGGGTGGATCCGCGTGATGGCGAAAAGTTGGTGTTTGTTCGAAGGATTCGCCCTCACAGCCGCGTTTCTCGACTGGCCTGTCTCACGTCAGTCAAAAAGCTTTGTTCATTGCTTGCAGAAGAACTGCACAATTGTTTGCTGGGGAGAATTTGCCCCCGGGACAAGAAATGTTCCGATCAGACCTTCTGCAGAGCCGCATCTTGCGTCACGCTCGCATGAACGAACCAAAATATTGCCACTGGTCGTAAGGCTACAGCCCGTTGGTCTGGGCTGTGGTGAGTTCTAGAGTGTTCCCAATTTTGACTTCAGAGTTCGTGGTTTAGCACGTGGACATCCTTGATCGTTGACGGCCGATATTGAATGCCCCCGGAACGAAATGGGGAATGCGAACGGAAAGTGACAAGACAGGAAGATGAATGCTGGCAATTTTGATTTCAAGTCCTCGGCTGCTATGGGCCAGAGGTGGTGGTTTGGTGGAGTGACCTCCGAATGCATGCTCTTATTCGCCCGAATAGAATCTGAGATGGACGAACATGGAAGGAGCGACCATGCAGGCGCGACTGCGTGGCTTCGTTTTTGCACATACCTCTACCCGATGCTGGTCTCTTCATCATCTCGTACCTTGGTGATGGTGACGTCCATTCTCATCCCATCTTCGCGTTTGAGAAATCCATCTCTGGATGCTGCGCCTTGAACTTCTCCAGGAGCTCCAGCTTCTTCTGCTCGTCGCTCGTCGGCTTGCCCATCTCCTTCTGGCGCTGGTCGTACATCATCTTCTCGACCATGGTCCGCGTCTCGCCGTCCAGGTCGCCCAGCTTGCTGTTCTCGGGCTGGATTTTGGAGGTGTCAATTTTGGGCGCGGTCGTGACGACGTGCGCCCACCACTCCATCTGGTTGACCTTGTCGAGGTGCACGCTGACCTCTTTGCCACCGGACACGGTCTCAAGGGTCCAGGTGGAGTCGTCAACGTGGATAGGGTGGGGTAGGTCACCCTGGGAAGCCGTTAGAATAGCACTGCGCTACAAAGGTGCGGGTGCGTACATCGACAATGGGCTCTTGGCCCTTAACGGCGACCTTGAGATGTGTTCTGGTAATCTTCACGTCTAAATCGCGTCCCTTATATTTCCCATCGACGGGGATGGTGACATCGAGTTCCTTGATGGTCTGCGTCCACTTGTAGGGCAAAGCTGCCTGCTCGGCGTCTTCCTTGGCCTTTGCCTCTGCATCGAGCTTCGCACGCTTCTCGGGCGGCGGTGAATCAGGCATGTTCGCGTTTGTGGCGTCGTTTGTTTAGAGACGGCGGGACGAGGTGTTGGGAGAAATGTTTGGTTTACGTGGGGTGAGGGCGACCCGCCTAGCCGTCGTCATCGGTAGTAGCTGGTGCCAGCATGCAGCCACAGCGCTTTCCATTTCAACCTCATTCCCAGTCTCCCATCCCTTGCGCCCCGTCCCACCCGACGCGGCATACACGTATTGATTATCTTATTCTTCGCATTGCCGGTGCCTCGCTATGCCCCGGTAGCCATCTCGACACCGAGTCGACTGCGACCCGCCAGACACCTGCGAAACATCGACAAACAGCCGACCACGCCCGCCGGCAGCACCAGCAACTGACCCATGGCGAGCTCCTTCGAGAAGTCGGTGAAGGGAGGGACCAAGATCAAGGTGCGCCCTTGCCCGCGCGAATCACGCCCGGCTGGCAATCCGGGGGCTAATGCGTGTACAGCTCGCGGCTCCCAAATCAAAATATGTCGAGCACATCCTCGTCGCGACGCATGCAGGAGAGGCCGGCGTCGCTGAGATCTTCCGAGCGCTGACGAACCGCCTGCGCGACTCGACGTGGACAATTGTCTTCAAGAGCTTGATCATCGTCCATCTGATGATCCGCGAGGGCGAGCCTGAAGTCACGCTTAAGTACCTGGCTCAGAACCCGCACCGGCGGCTGGCGACGAACCACTTCGCTGAGGGTACGTCTTCACATTTTCGGTTTGCGGGGCAATGGGTGGCGGCACACGGCGCAGCGGATTGGTTGGAGGCTTTGCGGCAGCAGGAACTACACGCCCAGGGAATGCGCTCGAAAGCGTACGGATACCTCGGACATCGTGCTAACGTTGCGCGTAGTGCAGACCCAAGGCCATAATATACGGACGTACTCTGAATATCTCCTACATCGAGCCATAGAGTATGGTTCGACGCGCGTGGACTACGTGCGGGGCGGAGAGGGCCGTCTCAAGCGATTGAACATCGAAAAGGGACTACTCCGGGAGACTGAGAGCGTGCAAGATCTCATACACTATCTGTTGAAGTGCGAGGTATGGAGCCGCCACATTAGCACCTGTCGCAGGTTCTGACACTCGCATTGCAGCCATTCCACGACGAGCCGGAAAACGAGATAACATTGATGGCTTTCCGACTGCTCACCATGGACCTGCTCGTGCTCTTCCACGTCATGAACGAGGGCACGATCAATGTGCTTGGTAAGTCTCCCG